CTCAGAAACATACAAGTTTTGATCAAATTTTAATGTAAAAAACATCCGGTTAAAAATGCTCAGGATGGTCAAGATGCAACCAAAAAAGTTGTCGAACTAATAAGACGAGCACACCATGTTAAAGTATGCAAACCGCAGGTTAATAATAGTGACGTCTACAAGCCAGACCTTTCAATTTTTCGCCCGCTAATTTCATGTACATTCGAAAATTGACTCAACCGATTTGCTTGTAGATCCAAAAATTTATTCTGGTCGATATTTTAGGCATTTTGAATGATAAAAGATATGTTATGCTATGCAGATGATGCAAAGTAAAGCAAAGTTGGATGTATGAAGGTTTTAAAATGCATTGACATAATTGACGTATGGCACATAAAGCCCGTTATATGACTATCACTATTGCTTGTAATATTGCATTCAATTTTGCCTGCATAAGGCCTGTAATATGGCATTCACAATAACCTGTAATATTGCATCCACTTTTGACCTATATAAGGCCTATGATATTGCATCCATTTTTGGACTGTATAATGCACATCTCACTTCTAATTCATCTCAAAATCATCCCCATCAACATACCATTTGACATGTTTCCCTAATAATCTTTTGCTACGATGTATTCTTAACCTAATCTTATGAATCTTAGTTGACTTGAGAAATAATCAGAAAGAATGCTTTAAATTAACAACAATGGACCCACAATAAAAAAAATCAAACAACGTTACAAGTGAGACCACAAGAATACATGAAAAAGCATGATAGACCATTGAATACGGACGAAGAGAAGGAAACATGTGGACCACTGACACTTGAAATACGGGCAAAAAAACATACCTTACACATTACTTGACTTTTTCATTGTTCTCCCATTAAAACCGTCATTCGTCATCTTCACAAGCATAAAGTTTTTTTTCTTTCAAAATTTAATAACATTATATAAATAATAAATATAATAAAAATTATTAAAAATGTTGTTTTAAATAAAATAATCATTTAAGTTTAAAAAAAAATCTAACACGCTCACATGGCACCAAATTCAAACTACCACAGTATAAAGGAGAATGACACATATGCAAAATTGAAGTGAGGAAAATAATCCAAAAAAATTAAAAAAAAAATTAAGGGAAAAAAATTTGGTGCCTAATAAATTTGACTCTTGTGCAAATTATAAAACACATCAAAAGTACTCCACACCCTAATAACCATTAATAAAATATTGATTCCTAAAATAGTAGTAAATGAGTCAATCAGTAATAAATATTTGAATAGTAAAATAGTACTCCACACATCCGAATAACCATTTATAAAAAGTAAACCTAGTTGCTATAAACAAATATTTTTATTTCAACCTGTTTTTAGATTTTTTCAAATAAATATAATTTCAACAATAAATAGCTTCAATATAATAATGTGGCAAAAAATGGATAAAAGACATTATAGTATTTTCCATAACATAATAATTTTTTTTTTTGTTATAGATAACTGACACAATAATTAAATGTTGAGGTGTTAGTGTCACACACTTGGATTTCATGTTTTGGACTTGAGCCACCTAACATAACCACCAAAAATGTAAGAACAAAGATGAGGTACAATTCTTTAGAGTATAAATGTTGCAAAAGAAAATACAAAAACCCGAATTTTATCGAATGTACATGCATGTTTTGTGGAAGCTAGCTGAACAAGATAGGGTCTTTTAAGTGAACACACACGTACACTTTTTCTACTAGTGACGATTAACTCACTCAAAAATCACTTAATATTTTTGAATTTATAAAATAAAATTAAAAATAAATTAAAAACAAAATATTTCTCTAATTTCAAACTTTTTTAATTTATATATATATATATATATATATATATATATATATATATATATATATATATATATATATATATATATATATATATATATATATATATATATATATATATATATATATATATATATATATATATATATATATATATATATATATATATATATATATATATATATATATATATATATATATATATATATATATATATATATATATATATATATAAAGAAGGATACAAAAGTTTACAAGTCACATTAACAAACACAAAAACAAGTAACCCAAAACAAAGAAGCACCCACCAAATAAAGAATATTTTATTATTAAGATTTAGAGGGTGTTTGGAAGAGTATTTTAACGAAGGAATTTAGTGCTTCGAGGGAGTTTTAAATGATTTGGATAATAATTATTGTTTGGATAAAAAATAGAAAGAATGGTTGAAATATTACAAATTTATAAAATATTTTGTCCAAATTAAATTTAATAATTTTGAAATGACATGTAAAATAAGAAAATGTGAAATTTCTCTTATACTCCATATGTAAATGTCAATTTAGTTATTATTATCATTTTAATTTTGGTCCTCAACATTTAAAATTTGAAAATTAACTTTCATAAAATTGTAAATTGACCCTTAATAATTTTTAAATTGATCATTTTATATTTAAAAATTACAAATTGACTTTTAATTTTCAAAATTTTAATTTAGCCCAAACATTTTAAAATTTATAAAAATGACTTTCCTCTTCATTTTGACAGCTGAAGGGATTGTTGGTCTAATGCGGAACGCATGCTTTAGCCAAAATTTTCATTTGTTTGTTCTTAATGATAATGTAGAGGTTGATATTCTTCAATTTGTTGATGATATAATAATTGTGGTTCCGCCGTCTTGGGAGAACATTTGGATGTTAAAAGCTTTGCTTCGTGGATTCGAGTTGTGTTCAGGTTTATTCGTAAACTTTAGTAAGAGTAGGGTTATTGGTTTCAATGTTTAGCAAGACTTTCTGAAAGCTGTTTCTATTTTTTATCTTGCGATGTGAACCCCTCCCCTTTGAATTTTGTTGATATATCTATTGGCTGCAATCCAAGAAGAAGTTCTCCAAGAAGAAGTTCATCTTGGTATTTGGTTTTAGCGAAAGTAAGGAACATGGTATCCTTATGGATTGGAAAATCTCTATATCTAGGCGGGATAATGACAATGATCAATTCAATGTTGAATTCGATTCCTTTCATCTCTTTATCATTTTATAAAACTCTCAATTTATTTTTATCCAAGAGCTAATCAAGATTCAGAGGACACTCTTTTGGGTGACTTAGAAAGTGGCAGGTGAATCAATTGGCTGGTGTGGTTCATTATCTGTGCCTAAAGCATAAGAAGACCTTGGTGTAAAAACTATTACTTATTCAATAGGGCTTTAATGAGCAAATGTGGATGGAAGATTTTATTCGAGGAAAACTCATTTTGGCACAAAATTCTTTCTTTCATATATGGTGATATCAAGAATGCAATTCGAGACAATTCATTTTCCGTCAATAACTCAGAAACGTCTTTATGATGGAAAGTTTTGAGGGATTCTTTGGGGTCATTGGAATGTTTCTAGTAATTGGTTTGGTCAAAGCTTTTCGTGTAAGCTAGGGAACAATAACGATATTAACTTTTAGAGGGATTGTTGGATCAATCCGAAGCCTTTGTGTTTGCAATTTCATGTGCTGTTTCAGAATTTACATCAACCAAGATTGAGGATTAGTGAGGCTAGCTCAAGAGTGAAAAATTCATGTTCTTGGATTGTCAGCATGATTCTGGAATCAGAAATAGATTCTAATGTTGCAGAGTGTCAAATTCCCAACTCAATTCTGCAGCATATTACTCCTTTTATGGTAGTGGTAGATCAATTTATTTGGTGGATCATTTCAAATGATTTCTCGATTATATCTACTTATTCTAGATTGAATTCTTGTGTTGAACAAGAGTTCCATCCGTGTGAAGATTTGAAGATGGATTTGAAGTGTGTTTGGAAATCTATCACGCCTTCTAATGTTCATGTGTTTGCATGGAGGTGTCTTTTTCATAGACTTCAAACAAGAGATGAGCTTGCAAAAAGGAGAGTTATATGGTGTTCATAGTCTAATTTGTCTGTTATATCTTGGTTCTAAAGAATCTCATAGTCACCTTTTTATTAAATGCTCTATAATGACTTACGCTTTGACCATTATATTTGATTGGGTATGGGTGAATAATATTGATTTTCCTCTTAACATTATCGATCATTTGTTGTTATATGTTAGATAATACGAGGGAGGGCGAAGAGAAATTGTAGGATTCTCATTTGGTTAGCTGTGGTAAGAGCTATTTACTTTATTAGAAACGATATGTTATTTAATAATGGGATGAATGGGGAGTCATGACATAATTATAGTATGTAAGTCTTTAGCTTGAGATAGACTTAATTAGTGATACATCAAATGGCCAACTTGCACATTTCAAAGTTGTTTGGATGTCAAATCTAGTAGAGCTTTTGAGGTAATTGTGACTATGCTCTTTCTTTTATATTCGGGTTGAGTATTCTTTGTACTCGCTTTAATACAATTTTTTTGCTTATAAAATAAATACTCTATCAAAACAAAATAATTTTAAAATAAATATATTTCAATTAAATTATTTTAATTATTTAAAATTTAAATTTCTCTCATTCAAACATAATCTTAATTTGATATTTCTTTCGGTAGAATCCGCTTTCTAATTAAAGAAACTTGCTAGTTTCCATAAAGTAATAGAGGAAAATACACTTGCAAAATATAAAATTGTAAATAACACTTTCTTGATTTAATTTTTATAAATAAAACTGTATTTGTGCTTCACATAAGATACTTAATTATATTAATAATGTAAGTAAGATAGTTTGAAACCGTGTGAATTCCCAAAATGTGGTTACACCTTATTGTTTGTTTATAAACACATGCTTGCATAAGATATAGAAAATGTGTGACAAAGACATTGCACCGAGTGGCCATGTTTTTCTTACATGATTACAAAAACAAATTTGGTAAAATACATGAGAAGCAGTACTATTAAAGTGTCTATGTTCCAACTTCCAAGCAATCTCTCTTTATAAATATGTTTAATTTTCTTCCAACTTTTCACCTACAATTATGACCCAAAAGTAGAAACACAGCACAAAAATGGGGTGGCTTCAATCTCTACTCTGTCCATTGAAGAAGATCTGGGTTCGACTTCATTCCACGAATAAAAAGCGTAAGTACATGGATTTCAATTTTAATTATATCTTTGGTTCTTGTTTAATCCATATTCATGTGTTATATAATTTGTGTCTTTTGTGGAAAATAGGTAGAGGGATATACATCTTATATAAGGATGTGAAGTCATGTCCATGTGAAGATGTGCAAGTTCTCTGGTCAATGTTGGTTGAGTCTAGCAAAGCCTCACCTTCTTTGCCATCAAAATAGACAGATTAAATCTATAGTATATGGGGAGATAGCAAATATATATTGATATAGTTTCACTTCAGATACTTGTAAATATTCAACATTTTATGTGCTGATTTCTGGTGGCTTCTACGTGATTTATAGAATGTTTCTTTTAGTGGTTTAGCTTGCAGAGAGCTTTGAATTGGTTGTCTATACAATTCCCTCTTGAAAAACTTGTGATATATTTTATAGAAAATGTTATTTTTAAACCAATTCTGCAACTATACGTACGTCACTATTTACAAATACGATAAAAGGTGATATTCATAATTTTTATTTTTTTTCTACACTTTTTTCTTCTCCAAAACAATTTTGATAAATATGTATAAAACTTAATTAATACAATTTATAGTTTGATTAATATTTGTATATTAAAAGTAGTCTTAAGTGAAAAAACAAAGTTGATTAATCGAGTGTTGTAAGTTGGTCAATATAGTTCATAATTTAATTATTGAGTATCTTGACATTAAAAACTAAGTCTTACATGATAAATCAACTTTAATTAATATTGATGGGAACAAATGAGGACAAACAACAAATATATGACGACGAATAGAACTATTAAAAACACAAGAGGACACCGATATTTTAATATGGAAAACCTTCAATGTGAGAGTAAAAAATTACGGGGTTGTCCAAGTCAAAAAAATAATTCTACTATAATGAAATAAGGGTACAAGATAGTCTCAAAGTGATTCACAACCTATTGCTAACAACTAAAAAATCAAAAAGCATACTAGCTTACAAATAAGAAAAAATAGCTAGAAAATACTCAAATATGTAGCTTTAGTGGGAAGGCAATATCTCTCATCTCAAAGTTTTTTCTAAAAATCTCAATGGGTAAAAGATCGACACATGTGTTGTGAACATGCCCTTAAAAAATGAGCTTGATCTAACAGTTAACGAATTCAAAATTGCTGATTTACTAAGACTTGATGCAGAAAAACAAGAATAGGTTTCTCTCATCTTTTCTCTATTTTAAAGTTGTTTTTTCTGTCTTTTACTCTCTCTCTCTCTCTCTCTCTCTCTCTCTCTCTCTCTCTCTCTCTCTCTCTCTCTCTCTCTCTCTCTCTCTCTCATTGACCCTCTCCACTTAAAACAAGTGAGACACAATTGGGCTAACATATTTGGACATTTCTCCACATAGAAAAAGAGTCCAAACTGTAACACCCTAATTTCCCCATGTAATTTATAAATAAAAATCAGAGTAATTTAAAACAATAGAATAATTAGGATTCTACTTTCAACATTAACCAACTCCTGCAATTGGATATGTAACACATATGAAATTTCAAAATAATAATAATTATAAATAAGTTTGAACTTCAACATTTTATTAGCAGTGGAAACATCAAACAATTGACTAGTTTAATTATTCAAAACATAACCATGACATAATATTACTATAAGAAATTATAAATCATAAGAGATTCACATAAAATCCCCACCAAACATAAAATAAGACACAAGCGTTCTATCCCCTAGTGTTACATATCAGAGTAGACGCCAACTCAACAAAAACATAAAGAAGAATGCTCTCTTCAACTCACATTACAAATTATCTGCACGATGCCCATGTAAAGGCAACATTCAAACAGAATGGGTGAGAAATCACAATCATATAACGAACACCATAATATTATGTAAGCACCAATTATCACATACACATCCACCAGTTCCACAACTCATAATCCACACAATTCAAATATTATAATACAACAAGTATGCAATGCAACGAGACTCCACTCCATGACTCAATGCATGTGGTATCAAATGTGAACTCTCAGGTTCACTTGCTCCTGATCACCACCATAGAATTAGAGCACACCAAAAATCGTTATCATCACTATAAGTAATGCTTCACCGATTCTCACTTGGAACTAGCTACTCACACCCAACCCCCACCATAGGATTGAGACTCACCAAAAGCAGACCACTGTCCAAACACCATGATGCATGATTCATAATTGACATGCAACAACAACATGTACAATGATACTCATCTTAATTAATGTACTACACTAAAATTGGTCACCAAACACTAAACATACACTGCAAGCATTCAACAATAACATTATAGTAACATAGCAGACATCAACACACTATTCATGCACAATACCACACCACGACATACATAACTCATACCATCTGACACTATTACACACCATTTAAAATCATTTCCAAGTACTGAAACTATTTTAAAATTAAATTACACTATGTCAGCTTCTCAATGCTTCGAACGACACCTCAAACGGACACCAAAAATTTAAGTTATGAATTTTTAAAGTTTGACACAGCAGGTGTAATTGGTTACACCTCCCAAAAATGTCCAAAATACGCTATTTAGAGACAGTGTAACCAGTTACACCAAAACCTATAATCGATTACACCTTTGAAAAATTGAATTTTTGAAAAACCTGTTCCAGGTGTAACCGGTTACATCAAAAGTGGTAACCGGTTACCACTGTGAAAGAAGCACTTTTCTGCTACATTGTGGTACGAAAAACAATTTTGTCACATTCCCAAAATGCCAAATTTTAATAAAAATCAGGTACTCGCGTTTCACATTCCAATCCCAAACAACACACAACAACACAACATTTCATCCATCTCCTAACTCATCCAACATACATCAAAATAGCATGATCACATAATTACATGGTTCATAACATAGAGAGAAAATTCAATCAAAGTGAAACCAAAACACCCACCCACTTGTTATCATGCAACCCCTTATACAAAAGGAAACCACATCATTACCTTAATTTTTCAGCAAGAGCACTTCAAAAATGAGATTTTCTATTCTTCTTACTCAAAGCCCTAACTCTCTCTCTTCTCTTTCTCCTCTTTCTTACTCACGTGTTCTGACTCTGTTGACCTATTCCCCTCTTTTCTTATTTTTATTATATTATTTTCATTAATTCTTATTCCAACAAAATAAATAAATAATGTTATGACCATAATAATTAAAAATAAAAATTTAATTATTACTATTACTAATATTTATTTAATTATTTCTAATTTAAATAATAGTAACAATTGATACTCTCCTTCCACCTCGATGTGTCTAAATTTTTATTCATACACCCCTAACACCTTAAATTTTAGCTTCTAAGGCTACCACCATACACCCAAGGGTTCTTCAAACACATACAATCACACAATTTTATTTACGAAAATTAATTAAATAAATCAGGGCGTTAAACAAACTAAACAAATCCCTCCCTTACAACTATGTGGAGGAAACCACCAAATCGATGATACCACAACAAGCTTAAAACTTTCCTCTTTAGTAACACTTTGGTCATCATATCAGAACCATTATCATCTATATGAAACTTAGCTAACTCCAACAACTTAGCATCCAAAACATCACATATCCAATGATACCTCACATCAATGTGTTTAGACCTATTATGAATAGTCGAATTCTTACCAATATGAATATCACTACTATCAATAAATAACACATTTATCTTGAACAAATCCAATCTCCTGCAAAAATTTCTTAAACCATAACTACTATTTGCATGCTTCAGTAATGACAATGAAGCCAAACTAAATTACGTCACTACCAAAAAAGAACTCCTCGCAGTAGTGTTTGCAATAGACAAATTCCGCTCCTATTTAGTTGGAGCCATAATTATCGTATATACCGATCGCGCTGCCATTCGATATCTATTTAGCAAAATAGATGCAAAGTCTAGATTACTTTGCTGGATCTTGTTGCTACAAGAATTCGACATGGAAATCCGTGAAAAAAAGGGCATTGAAAATGTGGTTGCTAACCACCTGTCAAGACTTGAATATTTGAAACCCGACCTTATAACTATAAATGATGATTTCACACATGATAGATTAATAGCATCAGATAAGACAAATCACGATGATGACCCTGACGAATTGGAAATAAATATCGAAGAGGCACTAGTTGTGACAAATGTACCTTGGTATGCTGATTTCGTTAACTATCTAGTAGCCGATATCCTACCCCCTGACTTGACCTATCAACAGAAGAAGAAGTTATTCCACGATGTAAAACAATTCTATTGGGATGAACCCCTTCTCTTCAAAAGAGACGCCGATGGCATATTTCGCTGTTGCATACCTGAGGAGGAAATGGAAAGTATTATAACTCATTGCCATTCCGTACCTTGTGGAAGACATGCAACATATCAAAAACCTGCACTAAGTTACTTCAAGCAGGATTTTACTGGCCAACATTATGGCCCGATGTTCATGCTTACATACTCAAATGTGACTGGTGCCAACACACTGGAAATATCTCGAGACGCGATAAGATGCCCATAAGAAATATTCAAGAAGTGGAAGTCTTTGATGTCTAGGGAATCGACTTCATGGGTCTATTTCCATCGTCCATGGGAAACAAGTATATTCTCGTAGCAGCCGGTTATGTATCTAAATGGATCGAGGTTATTGCCTCACCTATGAACGATGCACGAGTAGCCATCAGGATGTTTAAGAACTAAATATTCCCAAGGTTCGGAGTTCCTCGCCTCGTCACAAGCGATGGCGTATCTCATTTCATTTTGAGAATTTTCGAGAATCTTTTAAACAACTATGGTGTGAAACATAGAGTAGCTACGCCCTATCATCCACAAACTAGTGGGCAAGTAGAAGTGCCAAATAGGGAAATCAAACAGATCTTAGAGAAAATAGTTTCCATTTTTAGGAAAGATTGGTCCTATAAGATACAAGATGCATTGTGGGCTTATAGGACTGCATATAAAACCCCTATAAGAATAACTCCACTTAAGTTAGTATATGGAAAATCCTGTCACCTACCCTTCAAACTAGAACATAAGGCGTATTGGGATATAAAAGCCCTTAACATGGATTATCTGACAACTGGTAACAAGCGTGTACTTGATATCCACAAGCTGGAAGAACTCTGTCATAATGCCTACGAGAATGCTATAATATACAAAGAACGAATTAAAGTGTGCATGATAAAAGGA